TTAGTAACTGAAAGACATGTATAATCCTCTGCTCCAACTGAGCTGCTTTTGTTCAGCAAATTTGACAACTAACAGATATGTAGCATGTCCATATTGTAAAAAAAAAAAAAAGATTTTAAGATGTATTATACTTCCAAAGAACTTCTATAAAATCCAGACCTATTGGAGACCTTTGTTTATTTGTCAAAGTTTTACAGTATGTAAAAAATAAATGTTAAATCTAAATTTAAATCTAATATTATAATAGTGTTCAGTTCAATTAAGAGCTCCCTCCAGTGGTCAGAGTGAATAACTGCAACACTTAACATTCATTGCTTTACACATGCAGGTGAATTGCGTTAATCATGGCTGTACAGTACATACACTGCACTTTGTGTAGCCAAGAAGACGATGTCAGAGCTCCCCTCCAGTGGTCGGCACAGCAGCTGCAGTGGTCTCTTCCACCAACAGTCAGCTGAGCAGTGAACTCAGCCGGTCTGGAGATGTGTCGCTGAGTTTACCTAATTGATCATTATGAAATCAACATTCGCCACAGAGGAGGTGCAGATTTTACAATCAGTACTAGAAAGAGGACTATACAGTAGATTGTAAGGACAAGGTAAACTAATGTGAGGCTGAGAAGTGCAACTGAAATCAAGTTGTTTGTTAGTTGCATAGTAAACACTCAAACCTCTTCTTCTCTGGATTTACTGATGGATCACAAACAACTTCGAGGTGCATGTCGCCACCTACTGCACAGGAGTGGGTAACTTCATGTCAGGAATTTTGGTAGATTATTAGAAGAAAGTTTTCTCCCGCTGTGTTTCAGAACAAATGCAGAACTTGGACTTGGCCTCATAAAGGGTTCAAACATCAGGTCCTCTGAGAAGTGTCCTTACACTCTACACTATTTGCTCAGACACTCTTTACTGCTCTTTCTTAGAGCTTTTGAGTTTTCATCTTTGAAGATGCGACTACAAAATTTTGAGAGAGTTTTGAGTGAGGATCAAACCCATATCAGTCACTCTAACTACACTATGCTGGTGTTTCTAAGATCATTTCACTTGTTTCTTTGAACATCTAACTTCAAAAGACACATAGTCACAGAGTTGAGCGAGTCTCAAAGCTTCCAATCAGACTTCCAACACAATGAGCTGTTGGATTTGAGACCTTTCTTCTTTTTTCCTCAGAGCTTTTCGCTTTTCTTCTCTGGAAATCCAACTTCAAAATCCATCGATTTGAGCGAGACTTGAGCACATATATATCTTTCCTTTCTTAGAGCTTTTGTTTCTTTTGATTG